GCCGGCGCACCTTGCCGCGTCCTGGCCAGCTTTTCCCCCCCCGGCACCCCCGAGCCCTTCTCGGCAGGGCTGCTCTCCATCCCTCCATCCCCAGCCTGGACAGACAGTGGTGGTTGCCCCAACACGGCTGCAGGACCCTGCACTTGGCCTTGTTGAACCTCATGAAGTTCATGCGGACCCACTTCTCCAACCTGTCCAGGTCCCTCTGGATGGCATCCCATCCCTCAGGTGTGTCACCGCACCACTCAGCTTGGTGTTGTCCGCAAACTTGCTGAGAGCGCCCTCAATCCTCCTGTCCATGTCATTGATGAAGATATTGAACATTACTTGTCCCGGTACGGATCCCTGAGGGACACCACTGCTCTCCATCTGGACATTGAGCTGTTGATCACCACCTTCTGGGTGTGACCATCCAACCAATTCACCACCATCCACCCAATAGTCCATTCATCAAACCTATACCTCTCCAATTTAGAGAGGAAGATGTTGTGGGGGACCACATCAAAGGCCTTACAGAAGTCCCGATGACATCCATAGCTCTTCCTGTGCCCGCTGACGCAGTCACTCCACCGTAGAAGGCCATAGGTAACCTAGAGGAGTTCTGTGACAAAACTGGTTTGTGATGGAAGCGTCATTTTGTTAGATTTAAACTGTGTGTTGGTGTGTCTGAGGTGGTTTCATGTTGCGGAAGATGACTCTCAGGTCCTGCGAGTCCCACATCTCTGGAATCGGGGTAGTGAGCAGGTTGCACGTCCTCTCGCTGGGACTGGGCTGCTCTGCGTGGTCTGGAGGGAGACAATAGCGATGAGGTATATCACCCCGGCCTTATCTCAAATAAATGCCTGACCATTGTTCTGCAGAACTCCTTTGAATAAGTTTTCCCATACATTTATTGTAGCAAAGTGCTGCTTTTTTTTTTTTTTTTTTTTTAAAAAAATCTTGCTTCTCTCACTTTGTATATCTTCTGTGGCGGAGTGGGGAAACTTTTCAAGTCTTGAGGGCTGAAGGAGGTGGCAGAACGAGCGCCCTGACAGCGCTGGGCAGCTTTACGGATGAGGCCACCGTGTTGACCCTGCTTTCTTTTCACCTTTTATTATATTTTATTCCAGGGGCTGTTGCTATCTGGGGAGGATGCAGAGCTTTTCATCCCTACGGAGGTTTAAAATCTATTAAGAAAGGTGTCACCATCATTCTTAAAATGAGTCTTAACTTTCTCCACTGCCTGGTTAATTCTCTGTTATACTGAAGAGAGATCACGTTTGGCAGAGGGCTGCCAGTGTGTTTCCGTGTTGGTTCCAACAGTCTGGCTTTCCCTCGTACACACGCAGCCTCAGAATCCAAAGTACTTTTTTTTCCTTTTTTTTTTTTTCCCGTTTGATTCCTCTTGTTGTGTTGAGTCGTCCTGTCAAAATATCCCACCTCTTTGCCGCTTCTGCCTCTTGACGGCAGGTTTCCCGGTGCCTGCGTGTCCCGTGGCGATTGAATTAACGCAGCCTGCTGAATCCCAGCCAAGCCTTTCCTTCCCCGATGTTCAGTACAGGGTGTCTTCTCTAGCTGCTGAATGTTTAAGAAGTCATTTTTCTTAGCTCGGCTTTGGAGGTGGCTTTGAATCGGTTCACCACCTTGGACACAGCTGACGCAAACTGTGCTCTTCCCTGACCTTGCTCGGGAACGCTTTCCGCAGGCATTGGCGAAGCTCTACATCCACTGCGGCGCAGCGGGAGCCTGCCGAGGGAGTTGTCTAGCAGGGACGGCGTTTGAATACTTCTGACCCAAAATGAAGGTAGGAAAAGCACCGAGAAGCATTTCAAGTCAATACCCGAAGGAGACCGTAGTGGGTCCTGACGCCTGTTGTGCCACTGGTGCTGTTTTTTCACGCCTACTACTTTTAAGCTGTCGCCTCTATAAATAAAATAAAATAAAAAAAAAAACGCCAAACACCGTTTTGGGCCAGAATTTGGATTCCTCCTGATGTGACCAGCGTTCAGGCTCGCAGCTGAAATGGGAACAAGCAGCGTTGTTGCAGCACGGTTCAGGGTTTTTTTTAGCGGCTCCTTTAGCGATATCAACGTTGGGGTCAATGGCTGTAAATGATTCTCCCAACCCACGGAAGTGTTTGCTGTACAAACAGGCCTAAAATTGTTAGGAAGTGTCGGTACTCTCGTTTGTTTGTTTTAATTATTCCCCTCGTAAAGGCGGGCGAGCGTTCATTCAGTAAATAGGAGGGGCAGAATTTGTTCTCCTTTCTCAGAAACCGTCTCGCTGCAGTTCCCACCGCTCTGCGGGAGACGGTGCTGCCTCAGCAGCGGATGGCACCTGGGTTTAGAAACGATTAAAACCAAGAAGTGCTGATTTGACCGGCTCCCTCGGAGCTCCGATTATTCAAACCCAGCTTAGGGAAATCTGTCGCTGCTTCTCGTGATTGCCCATGTGAAAACGAAGTTTCACGAGGCGGTGAGCGAGCTGTGCGTCTTTCCAGCGGCTTAGGGAAGCGTTCATCGAGAGCCAAAGCTCCTTTCCTGGGCGGATGGTTGTGGATTTGAGAGGTCCTTTTCTATTCCTGTCTCTTAAATAGTTGCAGGTCAGAGCTCTTCTTGAAGATGTTCCATCACGGGCATCTGTCCTTCCAGTCTCCCTTTGGCGGCTCTCTGAAGGGTTTACTTAAAGAATAATTTTAGGATGGTTTGGTAGAAACAAACGCGAGTAAACTGGAGGGAGGAGGGAAGCAAGGAGGCAACACCTTATTCTGTGGTTAGTTTATTTTCCACGGGTGAAAGTAGGAATTCTGCTTACTAAAGCCGAATATCTGCTGCTGCTGTCTTCTCTCAGGATCGCTAGATTGTGTCTCAGCGTGGCCTTGTCCAGTTAAACTGGCAAAGAGTTGCGTTTTTTTTAACTTAAGCAGGGTAATATTATGGAAACGTCCTCCAAGTGAGACTTGAATTTCACTCCTCATCCGATGCTGGTGGTGTTGGCAAAACTGACGGTGATGGTTTGTGACGGGGCAACGCCAAGCCGGGAACAATCATCAAGCGTGCAGAAGGGAAGCTTCCTTACCTTTCCCTCCCCACCCCGCCCCCCCCAAATTTGGTGGGGTTTGAGGCTTTTGGCTACAAATATGGACGCGTCAAGGGGTTTGAAGACTAGTAGATTTATTTCAAATTTAGTTTTCACTTTTGGACTCTACGCTTTGAGGTCTGATAGCAGGTGCTGAAATCGGGGCGTCCAGCAAAACCAGCAGAGAATCATAGAATGGTTTGGGTTGGAAGGGACCTTGAAGATCATCCAGTTCCAACCCCCCCTGCCCTGGGCAGGGACACCTCCCACCAGCCCAGGTTGCTCCAAGCCCCGTCCAACCTGGCCTTGAACCCCTCCAGGGATGGGGCAGCCACAGCTTCTCTGGGCAACCTGCGCCAGGGGCTCACCACCCTCAGAGTGAAGAATTTCCTCCTAATGTCTCATCTAAATCTCTCTTCTTCCAGTTTGAAGCCGTTCCCCCTCCTCCTATCACTACATGTCCTTGGTAAAAAGTCCTTCCCCAGCAGCCCTTCTCCATGTACCTCCCCTTACCCGAGTCTGGGGCCAAACTGGGGCTTCCAGTGATGGATTGAAGTTTGAATTGTCTGCGTTTCTCAGGCTTGAAATGGGCTGCGCGTGGCAAATTTTATGTAGGTGCTAGGGATGGGTTCAGATTTAACGTGCTGCGTGTCTCTGGCCGAGGAGCAGAACCTGCCGTCGCGACATCTTTGGGTGCCACCTACTATGGGTGAGATGTTGTCGCGGTTTACCCCCAGGCTGGGTTTTGGGGATGAAATCCGTGAGGTTTGATTTCTGCAACCACCTATTTTTTCCCCAGAAGCTGGATATAAAGCATTTTCTTTCAGGCTCTCTTCGTTTTAGGGCGTTTTTGGGGTTGTTTTTTGGCTGCCTTGTTTGCAGTGCTGTCATGCTGCTGGTCCACTATTCCGCACTTCCCCGGAGAATTTCACCCTTAGCATCGCTCGCTGTTTAAACATGAGCTGGGAAGTCTTCAGTTATTTCTACTGTCAGCACTGCTGTTGATTTTTACCTTCTTGGTAGAAATTAATTAGCTTCTCGCTACGCTCACTGGATGAGAAAAGCTCTGCATTAAAGGTTTGGGGCCTCATTGCTTCGGTTTCCTGTACCCAACAGCACAGCAGAACCTTTCCCACTTATTTTACACTAGATTTGCAGTCTCTTTGCTCTGTGTGTGTGTTCTCAAAGCGTTTCCGAGCTCACAAATAAACGCTGCAAAAGCGCGAAGAATTTCAGTGCCCCGACAAGCGCAGGTATTCGGGGGTGTTATTCCCCGATCTGCAGATCCTGCTCTGCTTTTTAATCGCGGAAAAGAAGCTCCTCGGTATTTGTGTTCTTCCTGAGCGTTGTTGGTAGGTTGTGGTGGGTTGGTTTTTTTTTATTTTTTTTGGAAGACAAATATCCTCTCGAGATGAAAGCTGCTTGGGCAGCTTTGTTTTCTTGGAGTTGGCGTCTCTGCTTCAGGCCGAGGTACAAGTGCTCTCTGGGGACGCGGCAGCAGCTTGCTGGAAGCCTGCGGACTGCAGCACTCCGTAAAACAGGGAAGCAATACTCGTCCTGTTTCTTCATTGATAAATTCAAGGCGGGGGTGGGGGGGGAACAAACGTCTTTATAGCTCTTGCTCGCTGCGCTCGGAGCTGGAGGAGAACTGAGTGCCAGTTTGGCACCTCCAGCGATTTTGGAGGAACCTCTGTCAAAGGAGAGAAGGTTTGTGCCTTCCCGAATCCTCAAGGAGCGAAGTTAATGGGAGCTCCTCTCGCTGTTGCTGCTCCTCGTTTGGTTTTGAATCGCTCGAATGCCATATTTCCATGACTAACTCCAAGGCTAATTAGAAAAATCGCTAAAAAAGCTAACGCGAGCCTGGCCAGTTAAAATACTTCCACGCTGTGGAGAGGTTATATTGTTTGTTTCGTGTACGATTCGAATGGGACTCGTAGGTGATAGTCCTGTTGGCTTTTCTCCCCTTCTAATCCCAGTTTTTTTTTCCAAAGCAGACTGTTAACTCGAAACCCTCCAAACTGGAGCAGATGCACCCCAGAGAGCTGCTGCCTGCCAAGCAGACGCAGAGGTGGAGGAGCCTCCCTTTGTCCCGCCGTGGCAGATAAGTGGAATTCCAGACAGCTTAGGCTGCCTGCGTAATTTCAGCAGGGTCCTTGAAAACCCCGTGCCTGGCCGCTCTGCGGATGTTTGAGCACGTTTGTGAGATCCTTAAGGAAAATGAGCTCGGTGGGAGAGGGAATATCTTTTTATTTGAGGAGCTGATAGATTTAAAAAAAAAAACAACAAACCAAACAGATAATCTGTTGCGCACACGAGACCTTTAGGTTAAGGATCTTATTTAAATCTTGTCATAGAGTAGTAATGAGCTACTTTGGATTACAATTGGACTTGTTTTTTCACCCGAGGTCTCAGCTAGCGTAAATGCTGTTCCACTTATATAAAAGACGAGTATTTATAGTGCTTTATGAAGACATTAAACCTGAAGCGTTAGCGGAAACCACACATTTCTGCGCTAAGCTTTTCACTTGGCTTCTTTGAGCGTTGAGAAAAGGCTTTACCGTCTGCCTTCCAAACCCACTTGCACTGGTTTTTATTTGCATTTCTTAAAACAAAACTTGTCCTACAGCTTCAGGTGGGCTTCGGTGACCTGGATGTGTTTAACCGGGTGTCTGGCAG